GCCCTTTAGAAATAGCTTTGGTCTGTCCCCTGCTTCTCTGGCTGCTTTTATTTTACCTCTGTTCTCAGAGGTAAATGTTTCCTTATAGCCCTGAATCCAAAGATTCTCAGACTCCTTTCTTCTAAACTAAGTGTGCATGGACCCTGAAATAATGATCTGGACCAGAGGCCAGCACCCACTTCCCATAAAGAGTCAGGTGCTAAGTATCTGAGCCGCGTGTGCTATGATCTCACCTTCAACTACGCAATGCCACTGCTGTCACAGAAAAAAACGATGAAATGCCAATAAGTGATCTGGCCTTTGTTCAGTAATTTCATATATAAGCATGGAAATTTGAATACCATATAATTTTCCTAAATTATGAAATACTATTCTCTTTTTAATTCTTCCCCCTGCTCTTTAAAAATGTAAAAAAGTATTCCTAGCTCATGAACCATACAAAAGAGCTGAAGTCTTGGATTCAGCCAAGAGGTCAGAGTTTGCTAATCTTGGTCTAAACCCTTGCAATTCAAAGTATGGTCCCTCCCTGTAGACAAACCCCACAAGCTGCACTTTGGGACTAATTAGACAAGTTCTTAAGTCCTACCTCAAAGCAACCGAACCAGAACCTGAATTTGAACTGAGTCTCCCAGCAGGAAATAAAGGTTGAGAAGTCCTGATCCAGAATAAAGATTTGTCACAATTAGACAGATTTGGAATATAATTGACAAGCTGGCTGTGCAAGCTCAGACAAGCTTAACTTCTCTGAGACTCAGTTTTCTTACCTACTAAAATGGGTGAATAGTCACACTGACATTCAAAGAGCTGTCAGGCATGAAAGGCTGTTAAACACTTATCTGGTTATGTCACTGTGGCTAGTATTAGAGAACTTGTTACCATCAAAACCTTATTTACAAAGATGAGAATGGGCACTCGGGATTTCTAATTCTGGACAAGTACCCTAAGTATTCAGCGGTTCTTGGGCTAACTGGAATGTTGAGGACTAAGCAAGATCACTCCATCTAAAGGGAACTCACTCACATCCCACCAGTTACTGTCATGCAAGAGCACTGGCCTGTGATGGTATCAAGATTTATTCCTTCAAGAAAAGCTGGAAACTTGAATTTACTATTAAGAAAGCAAGCTTTCTGGTTTAGAATAAGTCACAAGAGGCAAGTGAGTGACAGATGATGAGCACCATTCTCCCTGGCCTAGTGGCCTTAGTTATGTAACAACTACAAGCCTGGGTTTCCTTACCAGGAAAACACTCATGTCTACTTCACAAGGTCTGCTAAGCTTAAATAAAAAAGCAAGTTATATACGGAAGCCTGACACTGAAAAGTAGGTCTGTCCTGTTATTACATGGGTTGGGTTTTCTTATTGGTATTTCTTAATGGAGATTTGTTGTTATTGCTGTTACTGTTATTATTCAACAGTTCCTGGGCATGTAGACAGTAAACCCTCACTGTCCAAATGTCCCCCTTTCTCTCCCTGCTCAAACTAGATGCAAAACAGCATGCACAATGGGCCCCCAGTTAGCCCTCTTATAGCAGATGCACTAAGTATCTGGCCACAGTCCATGAAGCTGCCTTCATTTTCCTGTTAACCATCATCCTTCTTGCAGCCTGGCAGCCATAGAGGTTTCTGCTAGGCCACCATGAGTCGATGCTTCTTCCTGGCTAGATCACCTGGAGAGAGCCAGTCGAGGCCACCTATGCTTCCAGTTGCCCTATACCAGGTGGAGGAGAACATTCTTGCTGGGAATTGTAGGTCCTCTGTTTTTCAAGACACGTAACAATTATTTTTATTAGAAAACCTAAACGTCCATGTTTGTTGCTTAAAGGTACACATGACAATATAAATGGGAGTGTATCATTACTCAAGAAAGTGTTTGTAAGATATAGTAGAGTTTTGACAAAAGCTGTAGGCATCTTTCTTCCCTTGGGGCAAGATCCAAGATAGAAAGAGCAATTTGCCCTGCTCCGTGCTAGGTGTAGTAACTCGATGTCTCTTGATGTACATGCAAGTCAGCCAGGGACTTTGCTCCAGCTCTGGGGATTCAGTGGGTCTGGGGACAGGATTCGCAGTACATTCCTAACCAGCTTCCAAGGCATAGAATGTTCCTGGTTTCCTTACCAGCTCCAGTCAATATGATCCTCATCCCTTCCTCACATAGGTTTCCACTCAAATGTCATCTCCCTAGAATCCTTCCATGAGCACCTTATCTAAGATGTAATTATTTGTAGAATAAGATCAGAATCCTGTCTGCCTGCTCCTTGCAGAATCGCCAACACCAGCAGAGCATCTGGCACAAGGCAGCCATTCAAATATTTGTTCATTAGCACAATCCCAGTTTGACAGGAAAGGGAACCTAAGTCTTTTGTCCAAGGTCACACAGCTAGTCAAAGAACAAATGCCAGCCCAGCTGTCGGTGTGCATCAAGGCCCCAGGTCTCTGCATCATGCCAGAAGAAAGCAGAGTTTATTTTTAATATGCTTCCTTCCTAGAACTCAAAGCTCTTCACACTGGAGACAATGTCTTAATTGTGTCTTATTCTGAAGAGATGCCTATATGGACAATGGCCTGGAGGAGGAAGACCAGGTCGGAAACATACAGGCCAGTTAAGAGGACACTACAGTGGTTGAGACGACAAGTGAAGCCCTAAGGGTTCTTTAGTATAACAGTTACTTTCATTGTCAAGTTGATTGGATTTAGAATCATCTAGGAAACACCTCTGGGTATATCTTATGAAAGTATTTCCAGGGAAATGTAATGAGTCAGAAAGGCCTACTCTGAATATCAGTGGTACCATCCTATGGATCAGAGTACTGGACTGAATAAAAGGGAGAAAAAACAACTGAGCACCATCCCTCTCTCTCTCTGCTTCCTGACTCTGGATGCAATGTGACCAGTTGCCTCACACTCCTGCCACCATGCCTTTCCCACCATGATGGACTGTACCCTCAGACTATGAGCCCACATAAGCCCTTCCTACCATAAGTTGTTTTGTCTTACAGTTTATCACAACAATGAGAAAAGTAACTACTACAGTTGGAATTTGGAGAAAGGGGACGTCTACTCTTCTTGGGTCAGAACAAAAGCAGGCTTCCAGAGATTAATACGCCAGCCTTTCTTCCTACACAGGCATAAGTCTCTACCCAGTAAGAGGAAGGCATCATGACTCCAAAGTGCTCAAAAGACTGAGAAAACTACTGGAACCCAGAAAGGATCAGGCAAAAGGTCATGAAAGCTGCTTCCTGTCCGGCGATGGGAGGAAACCCCATAAAAACCCTATTCATGGCACAAAGGGAAGTATTTCTGCTGGTGCTAGTGGGGAAATTGCTTCCATGTGAAAATCCTTCAGGCCTGATGAAAAGGTCTCTTTCCAAAGGAAAGGCTCCTTCATGGGGCTGAAAATAAAACCCTTGTCTTCCCATCACAAAATCAACTGGGTTAAAATAGTTCTCCAAGAAGCTATGACCTTGAAGATCAAAGTGACCTTGGTCATGCAACATCCTCAAATAAGCTAGTTATGTCTTCTTCTGAGAAGCCCATGGGAGGAGGCTGAAAACAATAAAGTTAGTATTTACTCTGGGCCTGGAACTAGATAAACAATGCATTCAATAGCTCAATGCTGGCTAAGTTCCTTTGCCATTCCCATCTGACAGCTACAGAAACTGTAAACTATGGAGCCTTAAGGACTGACAAGTCAGAGGTCACACAGCTGAAGAGGACAAGGTCCAACCTACATACCCATATTAAGCCAATAGCTGACAGGCCTCTGGTCAGATAATGACCCATAGGCAGAAGAGGACAGGGATGTTGGAAGTCTCTTGCCCTGTTCTTGATCACTTCCACAGAACAAGATGGATAAAAACTCTATCATACTGAATTTGATTTATAAAATAAGATTGCAATACCCACTTTCAATAGTCTACTTTCATACTGGGGACACCTCAGGGTCTGTCTGAAGCATACCGACTTGATGTACGGCATTGGCACTACGGATGGATGCCTAAGTCTCCAATCATATTTATAAGGTCACCTGCCTCGATGCTGCCACACAAGTTATTAAACACTTGAGAGCCATAAGGCTGTGCTCAGTGCCCTGAAACAAAGGCAGAGAGCCTGCCAGACCCATCTGAGGCAGAAACAAAAGCACTTCATCTCTGAGGGAATCAGATGGGAGTTTCCTTATAACGGGGTGCTCAGCACATGCCACAGTTGTAGGAAAGCAGAGATGAGCAAAGAGAGCAGGAAAAATCAAGAATGACACTTCTCCTTTGTATCCCCAAACGGTCCTCTTCAAAGGAGTCTGCAAGTAGTGGGAAAGATGCTTAATCTAAGGGAGACTGATACTGCACAACTGTCTGCTGTCATCACTTTTTCTTTTTCATGATGAGGCCAGGGGGCAAAATCACCCTTCTATCACTAAGCATGACCTGCATACCCACACCCCAACTTTTCCCAACCAGAGCCCCACCAGTTAGATGCATTGGGAGGGCACCCAGATCCCTCCGCTCCCAAACAAAATCACTGCAAGCCAGCTGAGGCTGCCTGAAAGTCAACATTGAAAGCACATTAATAAGAAACATCTGGCCACGGAAGAGGGTTGACACAGCACAGGCAGGCAGTGGTGGATTTGTGGTTGGGACCCAGAGTTACAAGGGCTGAAAGCACAGTTGGAAAACACCAGCTAGTCCAGGCGATCCTCCACTCACTGTACCATGGTGCCTGGCAACACTGCCATGCCCAGGTTTGGACTGTTTGGGGCTGAGTTACCTAGACACTTAGCACTTAAAGCTTTCCCATAAGGAAAAGGCAGCCTGAGTCTCAGCTGTCTCCTGCATCCTCCAGTGTCTGGCCACCACTTCCACCTTCAATATTTGTAGCAGATGTAGCTGGGCTCTTAAAGGAACAGCCTTTGCATTCTTTCCACGTGACTTACAGGACAGAATCTAAAGGGGGGAAATTGTATTTATTTTTCTCCCCACAGTATTGTACAGTTAAGACCATCCTACCTCCATTTATGCAAGGCGAACCCAGGGCACTGGTCACCACAGGCGTTACATGGCTGTCCTCTCTCTATCCGCCCCAGTCCGGTCAACTTCAAAACAAAAAGACAACACAAGCAAGTCCACCACGGGGGTTCCCTTCAAAGCCCCACTTGTATTCCCTGCAGGAAGGGCTGCCCCTCCCACCTTGACTCTGTGACTGGATTCAACTGTTCCTCTCTGAGGCTGAGGACATGGGGCCAGGTGCTCCAGCCTGGGAAAGGACGTGTGGCCCCAGGTGGGCTATGGAGAACATGGACACCAAATCACCAAGAAATGGCTTAGCTGGGGCTTTGTCTCCCCCAGACACCTTAGCCGTGGGTTTCTAAGAAACAAAAGCAAGACCTTTCTGTTCCCAGAGTTCCGGAAAAGGGACCACCTGGTGGCTGCCCGGGACTTAAGCTAGCACTCCTAGGAAGGGGGCAGCAGAGGACGCCCAAAAGCCAGCCTCGAGGTCCGGTCCTAGGCGGGATGGAACTCCACACACCGCACACTAGAGCGCGGGGACTAGGGTTCTTATTGCCTTGAGAGAGGTGCAAAGGAGCAGGCGCCCTGAACTGACATCTAGGGCCCCGGGCCCGGTGGCACTGTCGCCCGGCCTGGGGTGGGGCCCAGCCACTCGCGCGCCCGGCTTACCTGGGACCACAGGTGCGCGGCGGGTGGGCGGAGAGGGGCTGGGCCCGGGCGCTGGCTGCCGGCGGCGGGGACCGGGCGAGCCGCCCCGCTCGGCAGGAGGACACTCACCGAGCGGCTGGATAGTCTTTTCCGAGAGCTCCGGCTGAACATGGCCGGGCGCCTACTGCACGCAGCGCTGTCCGGGAGTCGGTCCTCGCAGGAGCCGGGAGGGTGGGCGGCGTGGGCGGCACCGTCGGCGGCCTGGCTGCCTCCGCCTCGCAGCCTGGGTTCGTTCCGGAGCACAGCCTCCCCTCCTCCCTTCCCTCTGCGGCTCGCTCCACGCCCTCTGGCCCCTCCCCTCTCCGCGTGTTCCCCGCCCTCCCCCGGCCAGTCCCATCCTCTCCAGGCCCAGCTGTGGCCACTTTCTCCGGCTTCTTTGCCCTGGAATGGGGCGGGGGACCTCTGTGGCTCACCTGGCCGGGCCCCCAAAGGCTTTTCCTTCTGCTCATCCTGGTCCCTGAAGTTAGGGGATCTCGGCCACTTCACAGATGGTGGGTGATGTGCAAAGATGAGAACTGAGGTTTTTACAAGCTTTAGGGCACATGGAAAAAAAGTTAACCTAGTAACTGCTTAGCTCTGCCCTTTTTGACAAATTCATGCAAACCGGCAACCATCACCATAATCAAAGCACAGAATACTCTCACTACCTTATTTTTAAAGCTTTGCCTGGAATCTAGTTAGTAAGTGTTGGTACATGAGTTGGAGAGAGGACGGATTATGCCTTTATCTAATTGTCCAGAGCCTGGTAATTCCTCACTGAACGCTTTAATTGTATTACCAGAGTGTGAAGCCACAGACCTTTGTTCCAGCTCTTCTTCCACTATGTGTTAGTGATCACTCCAAATTAGCTAGCCTTCTTATGTCTTTCTCGATCAATTATTTTTGAAAAGATGTAACACGAGTCTTACGTGCAAGTTGTTATGACAGGCACAAACTCAGGACTCATTAAAGATTAGCTGTCAAAAACAAGGCTGTAATTCTGAGATGTACGGCCATGGTGTCTGTTAGTGTTTGGTATTTCAGCTCAAATATCACCTCTCCTGAGAACTCTGCCCATCCCCTGTTGTCCATCGCTTCTACGTTTATGTCACATATCACATGTATTGCAATGATTCATTTATTTCTCACCCAAGCCGGAGTCACATGAAGGAAAGGACATTGTCCTTTAGTCATTTTAGAATCCCACATGGTGCTTCCACATTGTAGATACTCTGTAAGTGTGGAAAGAAGGCATTCTCATCATTGCGAAGCAAGATGAGTTAACATTTACAGATGAGACAGTGAAGGTAAAGGAAGAAAAGCCATGTGCCTGGGGTAGCACAGCGAGTTAGTGGCAAGTCAAGTCTACTTATACCTCAAAGTCGAGAGAATAGTGGGACTCAACTCAGATACCCCTGACCCCTCCGTCAGAGCTAACTGATGACCATCTTCACCTCCGAGGCAGTAAAGTTCAATTTGGTTTGGGGTCAGAGCTAAGGTGAGGCATGTAAGGCCTTTGCTTCAGGAGCAAAATTTATACAGGTGCCAACAAAACCTGTAATTGAGATAAATAATATGTGTATGCAATTATCTAAAGAATCAAATCAATGTCAGAAATATTCATAGAGTCTCACTTCACCCTCATCCTGGCCCTGGAAAAAAATGCTCTGAAGCTCGGGGGGCTGTAGGATAGTGGTAAGGTGCTTGAGGATCTGTGTTCAATCCCCAGAACCCACATTAAAAAAAAAAAACCCACAAAACTAGGTACCACACATACATATTTGTAATCGCAGTGATGGAGAGGTGGAGACAGAAGGATCCATGAGACTCACTGGCCAGCCAGCCTAGCCTACTTGGTGAGTTCCAGGCTAATAAGAGATCCTGTCTCACAAAACAAAGTGTACAGCATCCCAGAGAAGACACAGGAACACCTGCACACACTTGAACATGCACACATATGCACACACAATGCTTTATGGCTCAATAAAGATTAACTCTCTTCTACTGCATTGATCTATGTAGTGACCACCCACTATCACATTAGGGAGACAGTCACAGACAGTAAGTCACTGAAAATGGTATGAAACAGTGTCTTCTGGACACCGCAGGATGCTGGACACTAATGAACTACAGCAGCTGTGGTTGCCTGCACAAGATCAAGTCAGTCAGCATCGGAGCACTGAGTGGGGGAAAGCCTCAAGAGCTTCCACCCCTAGCTGAGAAGATGTTGACAATTGATGGCTTCTAGGGGAGGGGGAGTCAGTTTTCTTTGAAGGTGTGACCCCTGGTAGGCCTATCATCTCCAATGGTTGGCCCCACCTCCACGGGGATATGGGCAACACTAACTGGATTTGTGGGTTATTTAAAATTGCAGGGGGATACAAAGCTGGGAGTGGGTAGGAGGATGGGGGATGGATCTGGGAAGAGTTAGGGGGAGGAGTGGGAATGAACATGATTAAAATACATTGTATACATGCATGAAATTCCCAAAGAATTAATACAAATATTATATATTTATTTATTCAAAATGACTAAATAAAAAACAGTAGCTTCAGCTGCTTTGGCGGGGGAAGAAGCTACAAAAGTTAGTGACCGTTGCCCAGACAGGACTTGCTGCTGGATAGGTGTGGCTGGTAAAGGTTGAGGCAATCATAGCACCCTTGGGAACATGGTTCTTTTGAACATTTGTTGCTTCGTCAAAAAAGAGATGCAAGGACGACATGAGTAAACTTCATGAGTTACCTGAGTAAGCCATCTGCATGCGGCCCTAGCCCACCCACAGGTGGGGACCCAGGAGTGCTTCTCCAGACCCATTTTTGTAAGAGTACTTCCTCATGGACCTAGTGCTCCCTGGTGCATCTCTGCTGGCCCAGTGCCAGTATTCTAGGGCTTATTTACCCCAAAGGATCAGGCTGCAGCAAGATCATCCTCATCTACCCAACAATCATTTTCTCTTGCTTAGGAAGATGATGTTTAGTAAGGTAAGGAAGAAAGACCCTTGCTGTATGCAGATAGCAAGCAGTTTTGTTTTGCTTTATCTTTGCATTTATGTTCCTTAATCTATGTTCTTCCTTAATCTCTCCAGGCAATGCAATTACTAGAGGGAACATGAAGAAATTCTCATACACATTTGTCAATGTAGGGACCTTTGCTAAAACAAAGTGGAAAACCAAAACCAAGTCAGTGTTTGAGTTTAATTAGGCTTAAAATGTACATCAAGAAACTGGAAAGAAGCTGGGCATGGTGGTACATGTATTTAATCCCAGCAGAGGCAGGGGCAGGGGCAGGGGCAGGGGCAGAGAGGCAAAGAAGCAAAAAGGCAGAGGTAGGCAGAGCTCTGTGAGATCAAGGCCAGCCTGGTCTGCATAGTGAATTTGAGGCCAACTGGGGCTACAGGGAGACCCTGTCTCAAAAAATAAAAAATATAGATCAAACAAAAATAAGAAACTGAAAAGAAATGAACCATACCTTAAAATGTATTGGTATGAAATTATAAATTTTTTTCTCTTTTCTGCCTTTAAGTGAATATGTTTTTAATGAACATGTGTTTATTTTATAATCAGAAGCATAAAAGTATCTAAAATTGAGAATTAGGCCCTTGATGCTTGAAGTTGCTTTATTTTTCTTTTTATATCAAATCTGGATCAGGTGTAGCAAAAGCTGTGTTCCCCTCGTCTTAATCTATATATAGGTCCCTGTCTTCTTTAGTTGGCTTTTCTATTTTTCTCTTATATAAATCTGTGATTTTTTTAAGTCAAGTAAAGCATCTGTCCTGCTGTGCCCACATACCTGCAGAAAACCTCAGAGATGGAGTCATAAAGTACTTTCTATAACAGGAAGGAAGAACACAGCATGTAAGCACAGCCTCACCAGGTGTACATTTATTTGTGGTACCTACTAGTGACTAATGTGAATGTTGTGAAAGGAGTAAAATCACCCTGAACAGCAGCTAACACTTAGAAGAACCATCAGAGTTTTGTCTGAATCAGAAATCTACAAGTGATATTCTGAAAAAGAGGAATTCAAACTCAGAGTGGTGGGTAAGTTGAGGAGGCCAAGCAGAGAGAATTAGAGAGAATTTTCTCTTAGTGGTGGAAGGAATATAGACTTTGTCTTTTCAACTAGCACTTTTCTGTAGTCTGTAGTCTACTAATTTTCCTGTCTGGGAATACACACACATACACACACGCGTGCGCACACACACACACACACACACACACACACACCAGCAAATTAAACATGAAAGAACTGAAATAGACCACTGGTAGGTTAAGTATTTTACAAAGCATTAAATCATCTGGAGGTTACATATTCTAATATATTTAAAGCACAATTATTTGAGAACTGAACACTGTACATACTTCTTTTTGAAAAATCTTACAATTTTGCAGAGATGTTGACCCAGCTCATCTTAAAAATTAAATGCAAGCCAGGCGTTGTGGTGCACGCTTTTGATCCCAGAACTCAGGAGGCAGAGGCAGGAGGATCTCTGTGAGTTCAAGGCCAGCCTGGTCTACATATCGAGTTCCAGGGCAGCTGGGGCTATAGGGAGACCCTGTCTCAAAAAGACCAAAAAAAAAGCAAAATAATTACAAATATATGGCTAAAGAAATAGTCAGAAATACTGTTTCTGAGACAAAAGATAAAATTCAAAAGTTACCTGAATGTTTAAGGCTTACTAAATAAATAGCAGTAAATACTAAATAACTAACATCTTATCTTTTGAATGATATTCTTCAGTTATTTAAAATATTATAAAATGTGAGAATTTTTCCTGAATATTTTTCCATTTTAAAAACAGTTTACAACATAGCAATTAAATTACATATACACAAGATCTGCAGTACCCACTGTACTTTAAAATAAAACATACATTTGTTTTAGGATTTTTTGTTGTTATCAGTGGTGGTAGTTTGTTGTTGTTGTTTTGGTGTTTTTATTCATTTGTCTGTTTATTTTTGAGACAGGGTCTCACTGTGCAGTCCTGGCTGATCTGAACTCCCTAAGGAGACCAAGCTGGCCTGGAGCTCTCAGAGATCTACCTTCCTCTGTCTTCTGTGTGCTAGAATTAAAGACCTTTACCACCATGCCTAGTAATACATACATTTATTTTTGTTTTTGTTTTTTTTTAAGTCCAGAAATTAGAGCAAGCAGTATTACACATTATGATAATTTGTTTGAATTTCAAGTAGTTTCATAGTTTACTATTGTGACTATTAATCTTCACTGTCTACTTGACCAGATTTAGAATCACCATGGAAATGCACCTCTGGGTGTATCTATGGGTATGCTTCCAGAAAGGCATACAAAGCAGGGAAACCTATCCTGAATGTGAATGGACCCACCCCATGGACTAGAGTCCTGGACTACATAAAAAGGAGAAAGTGAGGGGAGACCCAGCATTCCCCTCTCTGCTTTCTGAATGCAGAATGGTCTGTAATGTGGCCAGCTGCCATCTGTTCCTGCTACTAGGCCTTTCCTGTCGTGATGGGCTACATCTTCAAACGGTGAGGCAAAGTAAACCCTTCTTGCCTTAAGTTGCTTTGTTTAAATAATTCGTCACAGCAATAAGAAAAGTAACTAACACAAACAGATGTCTAATTTTTCTAAAATGAACTTACATTTCTCTTTATAATAAGTAAACCTGAAAATATTAAATTGATAGTTATTTGATTTTTGATGACTGTAGCCTTCAAGGTATCTTTAGGTATATAATAATGGATTTTTAACCTTATGTGTATATTTTCAATTTATACTAGAATTAAGATATATTTTTAAAGTAAAAAAAAAAAATTTTTTTTGTCTTTTTGAGACAGGGTCTCCCTGTAGCTCCAGCTGTCTGGGATTCATTCTGTAGACCAGGCTGGCCTCGAACTCACAGAGGATCCGCCTATCTCTGCCTCCTGAATGCTGGGATTAAAGGTGTGTGCCACCACGCCCAGCTAAAAAAACCTTAAAATGCATAGATAATTGTCTCATAAGACAAATATTTAGATTTTTTGTGAAGATATTTCAGATTTTTTTCCTTTGCAATTTTCTATCTTTCTGGGCTGTTACTCCTATAAATATTGAGTTTTTTGAAATAACAGAAA